CACATGTAGGCGACCCAATAAAATCCACTAGAGAAGGTCAGGCAGGCACTTGGAAAAACTTGACTAAGGCATGCCCGGAGCCCTTCTGATACTTGAGGGCCTCTCCAGTGGGGCTTTTCTTTCCACTCTGATGAGCCCCAGATTGTCTTCAGGACCCCCATGTGGAGCCCTTTTACTGCTCCCCATAGCCATCCCCCACAGTACAAGTGCAAATGAACACCTGGCTTTGTGTACCTGAGACGGGCTAAGCACAGTGGACAGAGACACTGCTATGCTGACTGCGATTCCCCAGTTCCATCTGGAAAGGCTACCTCACACTCCCTGTTCCATCACTGGACAAGAAGGGGGTTGGATCTGTGATTCTTCTGATTTAATGATAACAAAATAATAAGCATAATACAGGTCAAGTATCCCTAATCTGAAATGCTTGGGTCCAGAAGTATTTCTGATTTTTTTTTTTTTTTTGGCATATACATGATGAGATATTTTGGGGATGGGACCCAAGTCTAAATATGAAATTCACTGATGTTCCATATATACCTTACACCATAGTCTAAAGATAAGATTGGACATCTTTAGTGCACCTGTATTTCAACTGTGACAGTCAGGTAAGAACAAGGTAAGGTGGGCAACTTCCCTCTTATGATGCTGTGTCAGTGCTCAGAGAGCTTCATATTTGGGAGCATTTGGGATTTGGGATTTTCAGATTGAGGATGTTCCTGTTATTACAATAGTTCTTTCATTAGTTGCTTCCTCTGTGCCACACACACAGTAAGAGGATGCCAAGAGTGAACAGACACGGACCTCGTTCCTGTTCTCATAGGGTGTGGAAGAGACCAAAGGCTAGAAAATCCCACACAAAGGTATGGGGATATGCCTGAGAGATATGTTCTACTAGAAGGGATTAGAGTGCAGTGAGACAGTGTGGGAGGACATACTGAGAAAGTGGAATTTGACCAGGATATGGGGAGTACTAGGAACACAGGGCAGGCAGGAGCATCACTCACTTGACCTAGAGTGTAAGGAAAGAAAGTAAGAAAAACACCACTGAGTACTTACCACCCTCTGAATCCTCACTATGGGCCTAGAATTGTGTGGATTATTATTTATACAATTCTTGAGCTCTATCAACAACTTTTGACAATTAAAAATTATTATCCTCTACAATTAGAAAAATGTAAATTAAAACTACAACTGAGGTCCCATCTCACTCTAGTCAGAATAGCAATTATCAAGAATACAAGTAACAATAAACATTGGCAAGGATGTGGGGGAAGGTACTCTCATAAATTGGACTACAAATTGGTGCAACCGCTATGGAAAGCAGAATAGGAATTACTCAGAAAACCTGAATGGAACCACCATTTGACCCAATTATCTCACTCCTCAGTATATAGCCAAAGGATTTTAAATCAGCATAGTGCAGTAACACAGCCACATTAATGTTTCTTGCAGCACAACTCACAATAGCCAAGCTATGGAACCAACCTAGGTGTCCTTCCACAGATGAATGGATAAAGAAAATATGGTATATATACACAATGAAGTATTACTCAGCCATAAAGAAGAATGACTTTATGACATTTGCCAGTAAATGGATGGATGTGGAGACTACCATGCCAAGTGAAATAAGTCAATCCCAAAAAGACAAAGGCCTAATGCTTTCTTTGATATGTGGAAGCTAACCCATAATAAGGCAGAGGTGGGCAGAACAACAGACATTCTGTAGATTAGACAATGGGGAATGGAAAGAAGGGAAATGGGGTAGGAATAGGAAAGACAATGGAATGAATCTGACATAACTTTCCTATGTACATATATGAAAACAGCACAGTGAATCCCACCATCATGTACATCCATAAGAATGGAATCCTAACTAGAATTAAGACATACTCCATGCTTGTATAACTATATCAAAATGGATTACGCTGTCATGTATAACTAAAAAGAACTAAAACACTTTTTAAAACATTATCATTCTTGTTTAATAGTGAGTAAACTATTAAAGGCAGCTTCAGAAACATGCCCAAAAAAACAATTACTTAGTAACAGAGAAAGCCAGGGCTATGATACTCCAAGCCTGTGTGTTTAACCACTGGGCAATGATTCATCTAATGGTAGCCACTGGCCCCATTAAAGCTTGTTGTATTGGAATGGATACAACAGGTTCACAAACAAGGAAAATGTACTTATAAAATATTACCCAAAGGATTATACAAGGTGACATGCACCAGTAACTAGATGATTATGGCACATGTAACACTCACAGTCCTGATAGAAGCTCAGACGTAAGCACTCCCAGCTTCTACCACACTACACACACACACACTGCCCAACCAACCACCAAAGTTCAGTAAAGCAGGAGTGGACATATTTGACCCAGAAAAGCTGATTCACAGGCTGCCAGAGCCTTTAAGATGGCCCAGCCTGAAGAGTTCCACCTAAACAGGTAGAGGATTGACCATAATTACACTCTCCAAGGCTGGGGTGGTGGCTCAGTGGTAGAGCACTTGCCTAGCATGTGTGAGGCACTGGGTTCAATTCTCAGCACCACATATAATAAATTTTAAAAAATAAAGGTCCATGAACAACTAAAAAATAAAAGATATATATATATTTTAAAACTTATACTCTCCAAAATATGAACTGAGAGAGAGGGAGAAGCTCAAAGTCTTAAGGTAGAGAGAATACAGATGGCAAAAATTAGGAAAAATCTAGTAATGCAATTCATCACATTACAATTTTATAACAGAATAAACTCCTTGGTTTATACCCACAGGACTTAAAATCTGCATACTGTAGTGACACAGCCACATCAATGTGTACAGCAGCTTAATTCACAACAGCCAAACTATGGAACAAATCTAAGTGCCCTACAACAGATGAAGAGATAAAGAAAATGTGATAGATTATCATACAATATATACATACACATACACACACACACACACAAGGGAATATTACTCAGCCATCAAGAAATTATGAAATTATGGCATTTGCCAGTAAATGGATAGTAAATGGAATCAGCTGTAACTAACCTATCCTTGCACATGAATACCAGTGTAACTCCACATCATGTACAACCACAAGAATTGGATCCTAATTAGAATAAATTATACTCCATGTATGTATAATATGTCAAAGTACATTCCACTGTCATATATATCTAAAAAGAACAAATTTTTTAAAAGCTATCAATTATCTCAATAGATGTAGAAAAGGCATTTGATAAAATTCAAAGCTCCAAATCACACAGGTGACAAAATTATATAGAACTCAACACACATACACACACATGCACACAAGAAATCTGAGAGCTGGGCACAGTGGCACATTACATTACATGTCTGTAATCCCAGCAACATGGGATGCTAAGGCAGGAGGATAATAAATTCAAGCCAAGCCTCAGCAACTGGGGGAGACCTTGAGTTAGGGATGTAGCTCAGTAGTAGAGCACCCCTGGCTTCAATTCCAAGAAGGAAGGAGAGAAATCTGAGTATGACCAATGCTTTGCATCAGTGTCAATATTCTGTTGTGAGCTTATAAATAATTTTCCAAATTCCAAAATGTTACTCTTGGGAAAAACTGGGCAATATACGCAAGGCATTTCTCTATATTGCATATTCTTTTTTTCTTTTTCTTTTTCTTTCTTTTTTTTTTTTTTTTAGGACCAGGGATTGAACGCAAAGCACTTGACCACTGAGCCACATCACCAGTCCTTTTGGATTTTATTTAGACACAGGGTCTCACTGAGTTGCTTAGCTCCTCACTTCTGCTGAGGTTGGCTCACTATCCTCCCTCCTATCTTGGCCTCCCAAGCTGCTGGGATCACAGGCGTAAACCACCATGCCCGGCTGTTAAGCAAATTTTTATAAAGACAGGTATGATCTTATAACAGTAACTGTTTATAACAGAGGCACTATTTATTAAGTTCCAACTTTTTGACATAGATAGTGCTAAAAGCATCAAACCAATTATCTGCATTTTCCCAGCAGTGAGGTGTCAGTTTGGATCTAGGAGACTGAGTAATTTGTCCAAGGTCACACAACATGCAGAAGTGTGAGATATAGGCTGAGTGTAGTTCTGTCTGATGCCAATACCAGCACACTGTCATATTTCAACAAAGACTCTGGGAGATGACCTGTTTGGAAGTGACCATCTCTTGTAAAGTTGGTCCTGATCCAACTTGGGCAGGGACTATCCAAGCCATACATCGATCATTAAGGAGGCTTCTGTTTTGGATAGTGTAGAGTAAGCAGTTTTGAAAACCAGCACACCTACTCAGCCAGCCCAAGGGCCCACTGTTCTTCCTGCTCTGAGGAAGGATTTGCCATGGTGATACCACAGACGCCTCAGACACATGGTAAAACAAAGACACCCAGGAAGGTGTAGCTGGCTGCCTTCTGCAGTTAAGCAGTTCCCCTGCTTAATCCTTAGTCCTGGCTAAGCTTCTGACTTCAGTCCATTCTTAGAAAATGCAATAGTAACAACAGCACTTCAGGATTGGGAAGCCTGAAAAAGCAGCAGCTTGCAGCAGAAGGGAGCAAGGGCACTGTCTACAAGAAAGAGAAGCAGCCGACCATAAAGCAGAGACAGATTGCCAAAAGAGATTTCCAAATCCAAAAATAACTTCTGCCACCATGCTTTGGAGAAATCAGGCATGCAGAACCTGGGTGCTCCTTTGGTCATCTTTTCCTGATCCCTTCTAGCTGAATAGGTGATGGACGTCTGCAGACATTCTGCTCAGCATTAAGACCCCCATAAAAAGGCAATTTTCCTTCCAGAAAAAGTATAAGTGAAGGGCAGAGATGATAGAGGTGTGGTGGGGGAAGGAGGGAGGAAAATTGGCCGGGGGTGGGGGAAAAACACAGAGACAGTGACATTCAGACCTGAACTCGGAATTTCTGAATGGTTCAGAATGGGACACTTTGTCACCTTTGACTTAATTATAAGACTGTTTTCAGAATGCTGAAGGGCTAGGCTCATAATCAAGCACTTACGTAATCCTCCTCATTGAGCCCTTGTTTCTCAACAGAACTTTTCACCTCCATGGAAAACTTCTCAAACTCAGGTTTCACGGTCCTCAGTAGAGTGACTGTTTGGAGGGATGAGTATGCTTGCTTAGCCTCAAAGTCGTGTTTGTCTCCTCTCTTCCATGAGCCATCTCCTACGGGAGAAATAAAAATATTTATAATTCCAGGCCAGTCACCATAAAGAGGCCATTCTCTCTTTTCAACCGCAATGTGTCCTACATGTTACTTTTGGCAGCCAGGGCAAAAGGCATTGTCATAGTTTTACACTTGGGTATAATGTGACAATGTCGAGATCATTAAAGGAGAACAAGGCTCTTGGGACACATGTTCCTTTGAAATGTGAGAGAGAAAGAAAAGCCCTGTTGATGTAATTGCCTTATAATAACCATGTAACTGCAATTTTCAGCGCACCCCACACCCTGTGGAATTGCAGAACTACAAGAGCAAGAAGTAAGTAAGCCTTTGTTCCTTTCCATTCATACTTATTTTTCAAGACCTAAAATCAACCAAGGAGGTGAACCAAGTTTTTGCATTACACAAGTAATAGCATGCAATAGCAGATTATAGCCACGCACAACAATGGATATGCATGAGTATTATAAATTTGGAACTGTTTAAAAAAAAAGAATTTGCATCTCTCTGGGGTAAAAAGTAACTTAGGTAAATTTGAGGATTTGTATCTCTCTCATTTATTGGACAATATCCATCAATATATTGATGATAATAAATAAATGTATTGAGTACATATGTAATAATAATAAAGGCTTTTTTATTGAGCATTTTGTATAAACTCATGAGATGCTCTAATGGGAGTACTATCATCCTTTCTATTTTACAGATGAGGAAACTGAGGCAGAGACATTGAAGAGCTGGCTGCTTCACAGCTCTGCCTTTCACCAAAACAAAGGTAAGTTACATGGAGAAAAATCATTATTCTATTTATTTCATTTTTGAGAAACATGTGGCTTGTGGGGTCCTAAAAGGCAACAGAGACACCCAGATTTTGACAATTTTTCCCTTTGAATTATGATTATAATTCCTGGAGATCTCTGAAAATACAAGGAACACAACCGGTTGAAGTTCCAACACAAGTAATCTGTGCACCTCAAGCTCCCAGTGCACAGGAAATGCCTGAAGCCCAACAGCCAAGCAGCAAGGATGTCTCTAGAATAAGGGGCCATGTCTACGGTGCTCACTGTACTCTTCCAGAAGTTCAATAAAGACCTGGTGGCTCTTGAATTTCTATCACAGCCTGAACCGAAGATATCTAAACTATGTACATGTTATATGCAAGAAACTGACAGCCATGGTGGGCATCATAAATGTCTTGAATAGTCTCCATCAAATTCAAGAGCAATTTAGCATCTGATATGTAAACAACTAAAGTTATTAAAGGGTAGAACTAACAGTTTACTATGCCAGGGAGGGGAGGAGAGCTGGGGGAGAGGAAACAGAGCAGAATATAGATGAACAGGCAATGTGCTCCAAACAGGGGGAAGTTTTCATGCGAGAAGCCTCGTCCTAAATGTGAGAATAGGATTTTAATAGGAGGAGAGAAGGGTGGAAAGGCAGGCCTGGCAGAGTCTACAACACGGGCAAAGGTGCAAATGTGTATGACATCCAGTGGGCAGCTGGGAACCTCAGTCTGGAGCAAGAGAAAAAGCAGAGACAAAGAATGTGTTTGTGGAGGCATCAGTATAATCACAATCCTAATAATAGCAACCATTTATTAATTGCTTACCATGTGCCAGGGAGCTGCTAAAAGATAAATAAGACAGAGCCGAGGACATAATTCATTAAGGAGTAGATCCATGCATGCTCAATGAGCAGTAGATTAAATTTCAAGCTACCAAACCCAACTTGACAAAGTCCTCCTCCTCTGCTCTGAATCCTCCCAAACCCAGAAGAGGCTACAGTCTGAGCAAAGGCAAGCCTGTTCTCAGGGAGCTGGTGAGTCCGCTTCACCATCGCCAGGCTGGGTAAACCCAGCAGGGTGCCCAAGCCCCAAAACACAAATGTGGTGGTGTTTGCTAAGGTCCAAATCCATTGGCCAGAAAGACGCCAAATTCAAGAATGCCTAGGAAATTTTCATCCCATGAAGGAACCCATTTCTTACAGACCTGCAATAAACACTTATTGATTCATTTTTAATTGACTCGAGGCCTCGAGACTCCACAGAAGTGAAATTTCTTAGAGTTTCTCAGTTCAGGGAAAGAATTCTCTCCATGGGCACATGAAGGAGAACACTCAGCTCCATGGGGCTTTATACTATATAATCAGAAAATACGGTAGAACTAGAAACAGCAACTATCTCAGTTACAGAAATGAAAAAAAAAAAAAACCATATTTTGGGGGAAAGAATTGAAATCCAGGCCAATAAATCTGTCTACCACAGTCTAACAGGTAATAATTTTGGAGTTTTGATTTCTTGAAGAAAGAATGAAAACAATAGTGCTTCATGGATTGAAGCCAAGTGAAATAAGTAACCACTCACAACCTGCAAGTCCTGCTCCTGTGGGCATTTCTTAGTGCCATGTGTCCCATATCAGTGCTGTTGAAAACTAGGAAAGCAAAGGTCAGGTTGGCATGACACCCCATCAGTGGAGACAAATTTAATTCAGTAGACAACTGGGTGCCTCGGAGATTTATGGGCGGAACAGAAGAGTGACATGATGAGAATCATGCCTTGGGAAATAGCGGTGGATTAGAGTGGGGAGACGCTGAGCATTCACAGCCACAGTGATGCAGGCAAGAGGTTGTGAGAGGTCACATGGGGGAAGTCACAACCAAAAAATAAAAAATGGCACTCTGGTTGCTGAGGCTTATGACATACTTTCATTCTTTTTATTTCTTACATTTTTTTCTCAATGCATTAAGTTTGCAACAATAAACATTTAGGACTACTTTTTGTCATCCTAAAAAAAAGATAGCACTCTTGAGAATGAAAGTAGAGGGCTGTGCCAGAGGAATTCCAAAACTCCACAACAGTCAGAGAGGAAGAGATGCCAGAGAGGGAGGATGCTAAGGAGAAGAGGAAATCAGGTGATCATTAGAAGAAAGAGCGGAGTCACGGGGAGGGAGGTGAGCAACAGGTGTGGATGGATGGCTTCAGTTCAGTTCCAAGGTGACCACAGAATGTCCAAGTAACACCACCAGGCTGGGGTTGGAAACAGTGGTGTGGGGTAAAAAGACCTGAGCGTCATTTCCACAGAGCTCACTGTTAGAGCTCAGGAGCTACCTCCCCTGGAGAAGGGAGTATAAGAAGAGAGGGGGAAGGGTTAAGCACAAACACTTTGGGGAGGCTATTTTTAGAGGGCAGGAGGAGTAAGAAGAGACAGAGAGTAGCTAACAGAACCAGAAGAATGCTGTGTCATCAAAGCTAGGAGCATAGGATTTCCAGAAACAGGTGGATGGAAACAATATTGGATGCTGTAGTGTCATGCTGTCTAACCTAGTAGCCACTAGACACATGTTTAAGTTTAAATTCAGTAAAATTAAAAATTCAGTTCATCGATCGTACTAGCCACCTTTCAAATGTTCAACAGCCACATATGGCTGGTGGCTACCATATTGAGTGGCACAGAAGAGAACTAGACATCACACAGAAAGTTCCATTGGACAGGATTATTTTGGAAGCATGGAGCACCTTAATTAGTGCCTTCTGAGTTCTTGGAAGGCAGGAAAGCTCTATAATAATTTTAATAATAATGATTTCAAATATCTCAAATAGGATTTCCCAAATAACTTTCTACCTTACATTCTAAGATAATGCCAATGGACAAAAACGCCAGTAGATGCTATTAAAACCTCTACAGGATAATATATATATCATCTTCTCTCCAGATTTTTAAACCTATCTTTTAAATCTTGTTTTAAACCATTTGAACTACCCCATAATATATTATGTACTGAATCATAACCATATAATTTGGGCAAATC